CTGCTGAACAGAGAATGAGCAGTAAAAAACAGATTTTAATTAAAAAATAATTATAATTTGTTTTTTAAATATACTTTTAAATTTGGTTTCATGCCCATACGAACAGCCATGGCATAACTCATAGTATTTTTAACCAATAAACCATTTGAAAATTAAGCATCAGCACAATAATACTAGGACTGAATATGGTGTACAAAAGTTGCCCGTGGCCAGGGGTGCTGTGATGGCAAGGGCTGTATAATTTGTTGGTATTTATAACTTGTGGCCACCAGGAGGCAACGCTCAGAATGCAGTTAGAATCAGAATAGCATATAATAATATTCTACACACCAGTAGTAAAAAACAACAAAGGAATAGCTTAATTAAACACAGTCAGTTATCCTACACAATTATTATCCCTAATTGGAGAGTACAATCGAAGTACATGTTATCTTCAAGGACATGTAAATTGATTTTAAATTTCTTTCAAGGGAAAAACCTAATTGATTCTCTTTAGTAATAAATGCTCCCCTAACAGTTTGTGTCCTTATTGCAGGTGACATAGGAAATTACTACTACGGACAGGGACACCCAATGAAACCCCATCGTATTCGGATGACTCACAACCTGCTTCTCAACTATGGACTTTACAGGAAAATGGAAATCTATGTATGTCTGTCCCGCATAAATCAGTGTAATGAAGCGGGGTTGACAATTAAGTGACATGACTAATCTCTGTTGCTGTCTGTTTTCAGAGACCACACAAAGCCACAGGAGAGGAAATGACAAAATATCACAGCGACGACTACATCAAGTTCCTCAGATCTATACGGCCAGACAACATGTCGGAGTTCAGCAAGCAGATGCAGCGCTGTAAGTGGGATAATGGCCACTCGTAGGGACTGTTCGATGTCCAGTTGCAATGTTATTTGAAAAGACTTGAACTTTACATCCTTAATAGCATTATTAAATTAGTCATAATTACCAAAATGTCATAGAAAAACATACAGCCCACATTGAAACCACCAAAGGAAGTGAGATGAAATAGATAATCCTTCCAAACCTTCTCATAACAAGACAGACTGGTATTTATTCACTTGGACAAGTCCAGTTCAGAATCCTAATAATTATGAGAAAAAATGGGTCATAACTTAATCATTTGATCGCACAGTGCCACAATATATATACTCTTAATACCATAACAGTTTATGCATAAAAAATATCATTAAAATGGCTAAATATAACAGTAATATAAAGTAAACAAATTCTACAGGACTGAGGACATAGTTCATTTCAATTTTGACTTTTTCTCGTGTATGGTGCATCAAGCATGATTTATTTTGGACTGTAAGTTCATTTATTTGATATTAAAAGTGTTACTATAGGTTATGATATCCATAGAATTTATTAAATACCCAAGGTCTACATAATCAATTGTTAATCTCTTTGCTTTTGTCTTACAGTCAATGTTGGGGAGGACTGTCCTGTTTTTGATGGGCTCTTTGAGTTCTGCCAACTTTCTGCCGGGGGCTCTGCAGGTGAGTCAGCGAAAAACAGATATTTACCCTTTACGAACCTCCCCCCAAACAGATTGAAAAGCGAAAGAAAGAATTTACATCAATAATGCAAGACTGGTTTTTGTGATTTTCATGAATTTAAATCTAGAAAAGGTGTGTGTATGTTTATGAATATATATATACAGTGGTCCCTCTCCTATTGCGGTAGTTGCGTTCCAAGACCCACCGCAAAAAGGGAAAATCGCAAAGTAGGAGACGCTTATTATATTATTTACGTACGGTATATATTTACCCTTTACGAACCTCCCCCCCCACACTGTTATCAACCCTCCCTAGACTGTATTAGCCTTTCCGACACAATTACATGCACAGTAGAGTTGTATAATAGTCAACGAGAGAGTGGCCGACAGACAAGGGGAGATGCTGAGAGATGTTACGATGCATGAGCCAATCAGCGTGAGGAACAGAAAAGCATGCTCAATTAGCCAATAGTACACCGAGTACGCATTGTATTAGCCAATACTGTGTACGATCTCGTCCAAGTAAACAAAGCTACCAGCGTTCGCAAATGGGCTTATCTCAATTTCAAAACGGGAATCCGCATTTTTAAAGCCAAAACCTTCATATTTATAGTTATGTTATAATGTCTTTTAGTGGGGTTTTTTTTTGCTATATTTTGCGATTAAGCAAAAATTTCGCGAGATACTGAGGGAGTGAAAGGAGAACTACGATATAGAGAGGGATCACTGTATATTTGGGCACTACTTTCGTGTAATATACTGTATATACAACAATATACAAAATTCATAATTCGGTTTGATTTTTTAGTGTCATGCTTCCTTATTTTTTTTATAAAAAGACATATTTCCATGCCTTTTCTAACTTATAGTTTATTGAAATTATCAACATTTTTTTAACTCCAAAGTACAGTTTGCACAGTATGCACATCAGAAAAAAAGTTCAAGTTGACATAAAAAAAAATATTGAACTGTGACACCTAACTGAAATGTTTGTCTAGCATTGCTCCCCTAATATATACTGATAATACTACACTTATAATAAAATTCCTGATATATTTAGCCATGGTATTTAGTTTAAATTCCTTCTATTGCGTCACAGCTGGCTCAGTGAAACTGAACAGACAGCAGACTGACATCGCGGTGAACTGGGCCGGAGGTCTTCATCACGCAAAGAAGTCTGAAGCATCTGGATTCTGCTACGTTAACGACATCGTGCTGGCCATCCTGGAGTTGCTTAAGTATGTTTCTCAGTAATTTACCTGACGTGGTGTGAAATAGAATAGAAGAGTTATCATCATTTTTTTTATCACAGGTACCACCAGAGGGTGCTATATATAGACATAGACATCCACCATGGGGATGGAGTGGAGGAGGCCTTCTACACCACAGACAGGGTTATGACCGTGTCTTTTCATAAATATGGGGAGTACTTCCCTGGAACTGGAGATCTCAGGGTAAGTCTTAGTTTTATATTCAATAAAATCCAAAATTTTTTTGTGATATTTTATACTTTACGTAATATTGACGACATGACTGTCTGCTTTTTTTAAGGATATTGGAGCAGGAAAAGGCAAGTACTACGCTGTCAACTTCCCTCTGCGAGACGGTATAGACGACGAGTCATATGAGCAAATTTTCAAACCAGTGAGTATGATAAAAAAAAAAAACAGTTCCACTCCAAATATTAATCCTACTGACATTTTTTATTCAATTTAGAAAAAAATCCTGGAAATACCCTGTAAATTTAATTGTGAATGGTCTTGGAAAGGTCTTAAAAAGACTTAAGTTTAAATTGAAAAATCCTTGGGGTACCTTGAAATAAGATTTTTTAAAATTCTGTACATGAAAACTATTAGAAATAATTTAAGAAATAAGAGCATATGAGACAATATAATTTTAAAGAATAATTTCTTGTTTTTTATAATTTAAAGTGAAACTTGTTACCAAAATTCATTTCATTTCACACTTGGACATGTTGTAATATATCACAACAAATTCAAGGTATTTTTTTTTGTTTGCTCTTAACCTACAGGTAATGGCCAAGGTGATGGAGATGTACCAGCCAAGTGCCGTGGTGCTGCAGTGTGGTGCAGACTCTCTCTCGGGCGATCGCCTCGGCTGCTTCAACCTCACCATCCGAGGTAATGAAATCATCTCTTTAAATAATAAAATCAATCAATCGATTTCATCCCTGTCGGGGATTTATTGTAGTCGTTGTTTGCCTCAGGACATGCAAAGTGTGTGGAGTACATGAAGTCTTTCAACCTGCCACTACTAATGCTGGGTGGAGGAGGATACACCATCCGCAATGTTGCCCGATGCTGGACCTACGAGACGGCAGTCGCTTTGGACACAGACATCCCTGATGGTTTGTTAAATATTTTTCATTTGTGTTTTAAAACATTAAGCCAATGTTGATGACAAAATTTAAGTTTTTTTTTTTTTTTTTTTTTTTTGGACTATTAAGCGCACCTGAATACAAGCACATACTAAATAAATAAATAAAAAAAAATACAACCATGTTGTAACATTTGATATTTAGAAAGATCTTTTTTTTTTTTTTTAGTATGTGCTTGTATTCAGGTGCGCTTAAAAGTCCAAAAAAAAAAAAAAATACAACCATGTTGTAACATTTGATATTTAGAAAGATCTTTTTTTTCTTTTTTAATTTAATAAATGTTTTTTTTTTCGACCAATGCCTGTAACACGGCTGGTTACACGTTACCGCTCAACTTTTTGCTACCGTTCTCTCTTGCGCGCGCCCTAAGCAAATATACGCACACAGACAGACGTACGCTACTAGTATAACACACAATAGCCTATCAAAAAAAAGTCACTAGCGGTATGCACTTCGTTAACCGCATCATTGTTTAAGCCGCGTGGTTCAGTGTGTGAAGAAAGTAGCGGCTTATAGTCCGGATGTTACAGTATATCAACAATCAAGGAAAAACTGATTAAAATTCATTTTTGGTTGATGTTTGTCTCAATAACTGCCGTCAGCCATTAGAAAATGGACACTGATATTCACCAATGGGGAATTATTAATACAAACTCTAATATTGCAATTACTTGTAATATCATGTTATTGTGACATCTTTATTCCAGACCACTGATCTGCTGCATCTTCTATACTTGTTCACCGAGGTCAGGGATGGTCAGACAGTTCCACAAAGGGCCGCTGTGGCCGCAGATTTTTGTTCCAACCAAGCAGCGGTTGATAAAACACGTTTAATCAACTGATCTCAGTCTTCAGACGCTCAACTTTTTGCTACCGTTCTCTCTTGCGCGCGCCCTAAGCAAATATACGCACACAGACAGACGTACGCTACTAGTATAACACACAATAGCCTATCAAAAAAAAGTCACTAGCGGTATGCACTTCGTTAACCGCATCATTGTTTAAGCCGCGTGGTTCAGTGTGTGAAGAAAGTAGCGGCTTATAGTCCGGATGTTACAGTATATCAACAATCAAGGAAAAACTGATTAAAATTCATTTTTGGTTGATGTTTGTCTCAATAACTGCCGTCAGCCATTAGAAAATGGACACTGATATTCACCAATGGGGAATTATTAATACAAACTCTAATATTGCAATTACTTGTAATATCATGTTATTGTGACATCTTTATTCCAGACCACTGATCTGCTGCATCTTCTATACTTGTTCACCGAGGTCAGGGATGGTCAGACAGTTCCACAAAGGGCCGCTGTGGCCGCAGATTTTTGTTCCAACCAAGCAGCGGTTGATAAAACACGTTTAATCAACTGATCTCAGTCTTCAGACAGCTGATTGGTCACTGTGTGCTCTTGGTTGGTTGGAACAAAAACCTGCAGCCACTCAGCCCTTTGAGGAATGGTTTGGACGTGCCTGACCGCGGGCCTACTTTTAACTCTTAGCTCACTTCTTTCTCTGATGTCTCCACTGCAGAATTGCCCTACAATGACTACTTTGAATACTTTGGGCCTGACTTCAAGCTACACATCAGCCCCTCTAACATGACCAACCAGAACACGCAGGAGTACATGGACAAGATTAAGTATGTGGAGAGATTTTCTTTAAAAGCCGTTTAAGACTTGGATTTTAACTGACAATTAACAGTGTTCTCCCATTTCATATCCTTCAAGTCGCAGTTTGGGCTTGTTTTTGGTAAAGCGGGGGTGTCAAACTTATTTTGGTTCATGGGTCACGTACAACATAATTAGATGTCAAGTGGGCCGCACCAGTACAATCATAACATAATTACTTATAAATAACAGTAAGTCTTTGTTTTCATGCAAACGAGTATATTAAGTAAATCTTAATAATACGCGATTATAATTATTTTTAAAAATTAATGAAATATCATTTTATAGACTATTTCCAGAACATGAACTTTATTTTTTTATCTTTAAAAATTCATCAAGCAGGCCCGATTGAAACCCCAAGTGGGCCGGTTTTGGCCTGCGGGCCATATGTTTGATTGAGTGTGTTTGCAGAGAATTTCATTAAAACCGATGGCTGTAAATTGTTGTCAAATTAAGGAGATCGCTCACAGCGTTCGTTTGTGTTCGTTTGATTGGCAGACAGCGGCTCTTTGAGAATCTGCGAATGTTGCCCCATGCCCCTGGGGTTCAGATGCAAGCCATCCCAGAGGACGCCATCCCAGATGACAACGTGGACGAGGACACAGAGGATCCAAACAAACGCTTATCTAGTGAGACAACCCTCCGTTTTCCATTCCTTGCCACAGTATAAAGTAAAGTAGTGTGTCAAAGACAAAAAAAAAAGTTAACGTGAGATCCACCAATCAGGCCTTTTCAGCCTGGTGTGACAGCCCTAGTATCAATACTGATACTCTATACTGCGCCGATACCAGTGTAGAATACAACATGAATATTCAGCCGAGAGAGTTTTGTCAATCACTTGTCATGTGTGGCTTCAGTTCGTGCGACGGATAAGAGGATAGCGTGTGATGAAGAGTTCTCCGACTCCGAAGACGAAGGCGAAGGAGGCAGGAGGAATGTGTCCAATCACAAAAGGGGACCTAAAAGGCCGAGAGTCGATGAAGAGAAGAAGGAAACGGAGGAGCAGAAATCTGGTGTGTATTATTGCTTACCCACAAAAATTAACAAAAAAAGTGTCGTTTTTTTTGTTCCTGAAGTGTAAAGTCTTATTTTTTTCCCCCATTTGCACAGAAATAAAAGAAGAAGAGAAAACCAAGGAGATTGGTGCTGAGAAGCCAGACTCTAAATGGTAATTCATTTCTTTATGATCTTTGTTGAAGAATTATTTGTTAATTAGCGTAGCTTGTACTCTCCCTTATATTTGTTTTCTTAAAAAAATATTTGAGTATTTTGCTTATGTGTAATTGTCCTAACTTTTACCCCATAATCTAGACCAGTCATGGGCAAACTAATATTTGAGTATTTTGCTCATGTGTAATTGGTCTGGTGTATCACTGAACAATAGCTTTAAAACTTTTACCCCATAATCTAGAACCAGTCATGGGCAAACTAAGGCCCGGGGTCCTGATGCGGCCCGTTCAGCTTTTTTTCCCCGCAATAGCCACATTTCCTCAATAGATGGCGTAGAAACTGATATTAGCATTTTAGCTTTGATGCATGACTTTATCTTAGCTCACACAAACGTTTCACCTATCTGCTCCTAACTCAGCCCCCCTGTTCAGTTTTGAGTCCGCTAGTATGGCGAGTTACTTTGAGAAAACTACCTCTGGCTTACATCTTGTGTCGCGGTTCATTTTTATTTAAATCTATTGGTTAAACTTTCAGGATCGAACATCGAAAGAAACAACTTTAGCCCGTCCAATATGATAACTAAGCCTAAACGCTCAATATCATAACAACGATGCTATTGCCTCTGCGACGGCAAACAGCGGCAGTGGCTCATTGAGTGGTGCTTTCAAAACTGGTGTATATCTTTAGCTAAAAACAAGTAATTCTGTTGTCTTACAGTGTGAAGACAGAGCAGATAAGCCCCTAAATCTGTTCTACCCCCGTCATGACCACATGGTGCTGTCCATCATCAGGAATCCTTCTCCAATCTTCTAATACAAAGATAGAGCTGGACATGAGCTGTTGTCAAAATCTTTCTATTTATTACAATTCTGTTTTGTACTTTGAAGTCTTTTGTCTCTGTGTGTAGTGGGTCTCCTGAGACATGTGAAAATGTCCAATGCAGCGTTCTTGAACTGCCGACTCGTTGAATTCCAATGTGCTTGACCTTCTGAAGGAAATTTGCTTGTTTGTTGCTTTTTTCCTTTTAATGTTTTTTTTTCCCCCGTTTTTCAAAACCCGAAGAGATCTGTCATTTAAATTTTGATATTTGCATTTGCCAATAAATGTTTTATAAATATATACACTTGCGTAAAGGTATTGTCTTTACCTGAAACACTGAAAGAAAGATTTGTGATTATTTTTATTTTCTGGTCTGTGGAAAGAATAT